CGAGAAGTGACGGTCGAACTCGTCGGCCAGGTCAGAGTTTCCTTCTAACAAATCTTCTCGGTTGGCTTATAACGTCCTGGCGAATCGTTTGAAAGTAGGCAACAAATTACAACGGCCACCAGGAGTCACCACACCACAGAGGAAATTACGTCTGGCGGCTATGATGGCACACCCAACACTGTTTCGAAGCCCTGTGAAGTCCGTGTGAGTCTCTGGGGTGCACGGAGCCGGTCAGGTGTCCCCTGCTGTGTCCCGCTCGGCCATCAGAGCTCTGAGCTGCGGGTTATCATACAGCACGGAGCCGGTCAGGTGTCCCTTGCTGTGTCCCGCTCGGCCATCAGAGCTCTGAGCTGCGGGTTATTATACAGCACGAAGCCGGTCAGGTGTCCCTTGCTGTGTCCCGCTCGGCCATCAGAGCTCTGAGCTGCGAATTATCATACAGCCAAGGGGCAACGTCTTTCCATATTTTTATACAAGCGGCGAGCAGGTTCAGGCAGATGACCTCCCAGTCAGCCCGGTGCCAGCCCCGAGTGGTACGTTTTTGGGCTGGCTGTCCCACCCTGCCCTGCCCGCAGTGATGGTGATGGGCTGATCACTTAGGGTATCAGACGGGCGGTGGCCGTTGGTGGTGAATTAGTGGTCACCTGGTCAAGCGCCGTGGGCGTAGGTAGAAAGTGAGCGGGTTGATCCACCAATAGTGTCGTGTTCAGCCCGTTGATTAAGTTGAGGTAGTGCTGCACACCACCAGCGGTCACTGTCCTCCCTGATGTTCCCCTCCCCCCTCACTGTCTCTGAGCGCTGTCCATATGGAGAAGCATATGTTGTCCATGTTGAAATCTCGCACATATTGATGCACAATGGTCATTCGTTTATACTGAAGACAGTGGCGGATGCATGCAGTTTGATAGCTCATAGGATGCGCAAGTTGCGTGGCTCTGTTCACTGTTATGCGTGGTGTCTTAATTATGGTGTCGGTTCAAGGTTACTCAATGTTATGTTTAGTCAAAATCTCACTTCTGTGGTGGATGATTCCTGAAACTTTTCAAACTCCTTCCCAGAAGCCGCCCATAAAAATAGTGGCATTGGGCTGTTTAACTGTGTCAACTTTGGATTGTTAAAGCCCTGTGGTTGCAGTACACAGATCGCGGAGATCTGCCGTTTTCACCTCTTTTTATTGCAATTATTTCCACTTGTGTTTGACTAGACCACAGCCTTGACGACTTCTCCGCCCTTTTCCCTGATCGGGTGTCCCATCAGCCATCGCTGTGCACTGGGAGCTGCCAGCAGTCTCCCTGCCGTCCCCCATTCGACAGCCTGCTGGGATGTGCTGCCCCTCTCCCCCGACCGCAGCGCGCCCGCGCCGCCGCCGGTAACGGTGTGCGGCCGCCCGGCCGGCACCGGACCGCCGCCTCAAGGTCGGCCTGCCAACTTTCGTTTTTTGTACAGTCGAGCCGGCCGCGCGGGCCGACCGCGGCTGCCACTGTACACCGGAGAGCTGGGACGCCGGCGCTGCGCACAGCTTCCGGCTGGTGCCGCTGTCCGCCTGTCAGGCGAAGGAGCACCTCTTGCCACCGTCCGTGACTCTGGCCGCCGGCGAGACGTCCGTCGCCTATACATGCGGCGCCCTTGCGTGCGGACTGATTGCACCTGGCACGTCCTGAACCCGCTGTCTCGGACATGCTCCGTGCCGCTGTCAGAGAAGTCTCCGCCGCCTCCGCTCGGCCGGAGAGCGTGCCTGCGGCGGCGGAGCGTCCGGACCGCTGACTCTGCGCCGCCCGGTGACGCGTCGCGACTCCGGTGCCGCGTGAGGCATACCACGGGCGTGACTCCCGGCGACGCGGCGGTCTGGGAAGCTCCATCACCCGGCTGCCCTCCCCTCCCCCTCCCCACCTCATCCCCTGCTCCCGGCCTTGGGTGGTGCCGCGACGCCTGAAGTCACGAGCGGAGCCTGTGGTCGTGCCGGAAACTGTATGGGGCGGGCGTGCCGGGCGTCCGTCGGCCGGACCCAGCTCGTCATGGTAACCATGGCGCTGCCGTGCATGGCTATCGCTAATGGCCGTCTTTGTGAGGTGTTGCGGGGCTTTCCAGCGTAGCAGCTGCGTCCTTCACCTCGGGTGCTTCAGCTGTTCGCCGCGGCCGCGGAATGGTCGACTCTGTCCCGTTATACATTGCTGCTGGCACGTTTGTCGCTCCCGCACTCTAGTAATCTATGAGGACAGGGCGCTGAGGTAAATCCGCCGATCTTGGGCAGTGAGAAGCTGCATCACATCCCGCGCGGTGCGTGCGATATGAACAGTATGTTTAGCTGATCCAATTGAGGAAATCGGGCGTTGTGAGATTGCTGGCCTGACGACCGGAGCAGCCATAGAACACCACGCAGCCATCACCAGCACTTAGCCAGAGCATGGAAACCCCTGGCTGACCCCGACCGCAGCGCTACCCTGTCCAGCGGCGGTGTCTCCAGTGACGTGGGCCGGACGGGACCACGCCCTGCCCGCTGGTCATCCCTGGCGGTGGCGGCCTTGGTCGGCGCCACGTCCCCGCCCTGTGGAGCGCGCTCGCGTCCCAAGTCCGGTTCGTGGCGTCGTGGACGATCTCTCCGTGGCGGAGGAGCCTGCCGCGACCGCTCGGTCTGATCAGCTGTCCAATCACGGCTGGCGTGATTTTTGGAATAAGTGCGGTGAAACGCACGTGCCTTTTGGCGCAGGTTCATGGAACGTTTATGTCCCGTACGTGGAGAACGGTCTTTGATGAGCGCCTGGCAAATTTTGCTCGTGTAGCAAAGAAACGATGGAAATAGCCATGACTTTCCCGGTAAAGAGTACACTCGTGCCGACTCCTGTGTCCGTCGCGGCCCGGGAGCCTGCGGCCGAAACTGGGGCACGCGCCGGCGATGGCAGCGTGCGGCGCCCGGTCTTCTGCGGGCGCTCTGGTGCCGTGGACGATCGGGCCGCCGCCACCGCCAGGAAATGCTCCTCCCGTCAGCTGGCGGACAAAAAGCTGGTCCGGCCTTGGAGCCAGCCCAGGGACCACACCCTGCTGCGCCGGCCGAGCCGGCGGGGCCAGGCGGCCGACCAAGGCTGGTCGCCGCCGCCACCCGCCGGCCTCCGGGCCCGCACGGGGACGCCGCGACCCGCCCGGAGGCCGGGCCGCTTGTGGGACGGCCGTGGCGCGACGCTGGATGACAGGAGCGAGTGTTTTTAGCGCGGTTGGGAGTGTCTTGGCGAGGGCTTCCGGTGATTGTAAGCGGTTTCACGGCTGGAGATGTCGTCGGGAGAACACATGTGGTCTTGAGCCACGCATTTTATAGCTTATGACCTTCGGACATTTTTTGTGCGATCTCAAAGCTGAACCTCAAAGATGACAGAGGCTGTGCACGTCCGAGCTTTGAACGGATGCGTGGCTCATACACCACGCATGCTTTGATTAGGTGGCAGACGGAGCACATGCCCGAGAACTGTGTAGAATGTGTGTTCCAAACAGTATGTGAGTGTTGCTCATCCTGACGCTGGTGGCCAGATACCAAGCTTTGAAACTGCCCGTGTCGCCGGATTAGCCCTTGCAAATTTCTTTGGAGTGTTTTTGGGTTTACGTACACGGCTCTGGAAAGGTAGCGCCGTAACTCGTGAACCCGTTCTGACCACCGATTCGGAACCAACGCATTAATAACCTATCAAAAAGCATTCCAATGTTTTGTGATTCAAACAGCATGTGAAGAGAATTTCCTTTATTCATCAGACTGTCCTTGACGCGTGCATACTTGGCAAACGTGGAACTTTATGTCGTTGGGTTGATATGAACTGAGGTGTCGCAACGCCCGAATGAAAGCAAGCCAGGGTCCGCTTTTGGCTGCACTCCGCCCGCGATAAACCTAGATGTTTTGGGGGATTACTCAAATCCAATTCCAATTTGAGAATTTTTCAGAGATGCGGCCAATTATAGGTGAAATTCGCTGTTGCTTAAGCCTTGAAGGCACCGTGCGAGCTCGTGATGTCAGCTACAGCTTGTACAGTTTGTGATTTATCTGCTCACAATCGGCTTGACCAAGTTTCTGTCGGCTTATGAAGTGATCCCCATTATGCTACGTGATGAACACGACCGGTTAGCTCCAGTTGCCATTTCACCTTGTAACGGATTATCTGCGATCTGTCCACCGCGAGTGAACGTCTACCCTGAGACGAGTTTATTTGTATAAAAATATCGCGTATAATCATGTAAAAATATCATCAATAAAAATGTCATGTTGTTATGTTTGTCATGGGCTAACTTGATATCATTAAAACCAATCAAGCATGTTGCATTGAGTAACATCTTGAGGCTAGTAAGATCGCGTATGTTGGTGAAAGCAAGGGAACGATAGGCGTTGGTTATAAAATGTTCCGTCTCTGCGAGCCCTTTCCTGGTCTCCTCAACACATTAACCACGTGTAAAGATTTTAAGATGCTTCGGATACCGTGTTGTCTGTCAGCTGTGACCCGCATCTACCGATGACATGCCGATGGCATCTGATGACATCTGCATGACGCATCTGTCTTCATGGTTGGGCAGATGCTCATGGAACGGCCATCCAAACGGAGAGTTTACCTTTCTGATGCTAGGAAGGGGAAAGTCTTACGTTGCCGATGTCAGGAAGGGGAAAGTCGACCACCGAAAAATGTTCTGAAGGCATGTCAATTGCAACTGTCCGCTTGGCGGCGTTTTTGTGTTGCTCTTGTGATTTTAATGAGGTTGCAGCACCCATGACATACCGATCTTTGATCACAATTGGGATCGGGTGATTTTTATGACTCGTGAATGCTCAACTTAATTGCTTACAGCAATGGCATACTTCAGCTTATCAGATAGTTGACATGATAAAGCGATCCACTAAACCGGCCCGCCAAATCAGCGAGGGCAGTGTCATCCAACTGTCTCCATCTATGTGCTTGCTGATCCCGCCTGCTGGTTGTGCGCGCGGCTGTGCGTGTTTACGTGCACTGACGTCGCCCGCTGCCCCGCAGGCCTCGACAAGACCTGGCAGGTGCAGCTGCCCGACGTCGAGAAGGTGGCCTGGGTGTGGTGCCTGTTCTTCTGCTTCATCACGCCGGAGGCCGGCACGCTCTTCCGATCCACCCGGATGTGCTTCTTCAAGGTGAACTGCTTTCCCGGCGCAGGACGCTGGGTGCTGGCGGGTGAAACGACAGCTGGGCAGCGTCAGCGACCGCGCCGCTGATTCACGGCTAGCACCAGCACCAGCCGCCAACGACGCTTTGTTTCCGGTCGATTTTGTTCAGAAACTCGTGAACGGGCTTAGTGATGCCGGCTAGTTCTCAGACCCTGAATGCTTCTTTCCAGTCCAACGTCGACCTTGTCATGTTCGAGGCGCTGTTCTGCTTAGTTTAGTACGAAGAAGTTGGTCTGGTAATGTCCGAAAGTTTCCCGACTTTAAGGTGCATCGCGAATGTTGGAACCGGTAAAAGGTCTCTTGCGGTGCCGATAGCTAACTCGGCTGTAACTTCACAGCAATTATGCACCCCGAGCTACAGTTTTGCGGAAATTTCGCGCACAGTTAACACTCCCTCACTTTACCGTCCTTCGCATCGAAGAGCTTTCATTTCGAATCGACCTTCAGCCGGTCGGCCTCTTCCCTGCGGCCACAGCGCCGGCCGGTGCTCTCCGAGTCTGCGGCCGCTTCTCGAGCCCGCTCTTACCCCCCGCCCCCGTCCGCAGTCGGTGCGTCGGCCCGAGTTCGCCCACTTCCTAGTGGTGGTGCTGTTCGAGTCGCTGCACACCGTCGGCCTGGCGCTGCTCATCTTCTTCGTGCTGCCGGACCTGGACGCCGTGAAGGGCGTCATGCTCACCAACTGCGTCTGCATCGTGCCCGGAATATTCGGTGAGTGTAGCCGCTCGCTCCTGCCTTGTTGCATGCGGCACCTCTATCCGAGTGATTCACTCATGGGTTGTACTGCTGTGGCATCGGAACCGCTTTGTTGTCGATGGATTTATCATTAGACGGCCAGGTACGAATTCTTGTGTGTTGTCTTCCTGTTTTGTGCCGGTGGGCAAACACAGGACAATGCCTCGTGTCACCGCTTTTTGAGACAAAGTGCATATCTTCGCATTGCATCAGCGCTATCACGTATCAACGCCATTGCTCACGGTGTTTTTTTGTTTGGATGTTTTGCCAGATGTTTAAGAGTGTCAACCGTTTTTCCCTGATATCTGGCTGACAGAGGGCACAAGCCACCCATATCGAACAGATAGCATTTTTCCTGCTTTCAGGCATGCTGTCACGCACCAACAAGGAGTCGAAGCGCTTCTTGAAGACGGTGTGCGACATTGCCGCAATTTTGGGCCAGGCCTCTGGTTTCATCGTCTGGCCCATCGTCGAGTACCAGCGGGGCAACGTCAACGCCTGCTGGGCCATCCCCCTGGCCGTTGTGCTGACATCTTTCGGCTGGTGGGAGAACTACGTGGACCGGAAGTCGCGAGTCAGTAAGTGCACTCAGCTGATCAGGGCGTCTCGGGGCACTTTTTACTGGGGCATGTGGGCAGAAGCTGGGAATGGTACGGAATCCATTCAAGGTGATCGACTGTTGGAAGTCGCTCGACAGATACACTGCTTTTTTGGCCAGTCAGGAACGCTTGAACGCTTGCACTGCTTGAACATGTCCCTTCTTCTGTTTCTCAGTCTATAAGGTATTGATTTCGTCTCTGTATATTGCCTGTTTGCAATGTGCTATGCGTCACTTTGTAAGTCAGCTTAAAACATTTACTCCTGGTTGTCGCTTAGCTGCTGGGCAGTCCTAATGGATGTTTGGCGCTTTACAGAGACAATTCAGTATTTGGGAACGATCAAAGAGAAGATGAAGAAGACCCGCTACTGGACGTACCTGTTCGTGTCATTGTGGAAGGTTATGGTGTTCTTTGCCTGCATGGTCTTGTTTATGTACCTGCGCCTGGATGACGTCAACGACCTCTTCTCCAAGTTCACCGACAGCTTCGACGAGCACAAGCTGTTCGTCAACGAGGTAGGAGTCGTGGTGCAGCGCCTCGTCAGTCGCCTGCGAAGTTGGTCCGTACGAGGCAGAACGCGCCATTGGCTAGAGACTATGGCGCTGAGCAGAAAATAAACTGAATGTGAACATAAACGTGACCGCGAACGCGACAGCGCAAAATCTAGACAAGGTCTTCCAAAACGCGGCACATTCGTTGTCGCCGTACGATTCCAAAACATCGAGAATTGAATGGAGGGAGGCAGCTGTCCCGGATGCCGGCAGCCCTGCACGCCCGGTGTCCCGCCTCCTCCTTCAGCGTAATGTTGTGACGTTTGTTGCATGCTCGGCAGACGTCCAGCGCGCCGATAAGTGCCGTCACCGACACGGCCAACTTCGATCGTCGCTTCGCCGACACCAAGACCATCTTCTCGGACAGCAGCGCTGCCATCTACGTCTGCTTCATCCAGATCTTCTCCGCTTACCTCGCATACATCTTCGGTGAGCGACGCGCACTTGGCGGTACCATACCGGGCAACCTTGTGGTGCGGATGAAGTTTAAAAGACGCTTTCAACGCGTTTTCGCATTGCTGGAGAAATATGATGATGAAGTTAAAAACCCCGCTCATTTGGGGGAAATTGGTTTTTGAAAGGAATTAGATATGAACTAGTACCCCTCGATTGAACACATACTGTTCAGCACCCTCCGCGGAATCGCTTCGCAGCACTGTCGCCTGAGCGACATTCGCCGGTGCACGTAAGCCTCTGCGACAATCACAGGAACGCTGCCCACTCACGCTCCACTGGCGCCGCGTTTCAGGGAAGTTTGCCTGCAAGATCTGCATCCAGGGCTTCAGCTTCGCGTTCCCGGTGAACCTGACGATCCCGGTGACGCTGTCGCTGCTGCTGATGAGCTGCGGCCTCCGCGCCGGCGACGCCTGCTTCCTGCGCGACACCATACCCGGATACCTGTTCTTCGAGTGCCCGTCCGGCGACTACATCAAGGACTTTATCGCTGGCGAGGTGCGTTTTCGCGGTGGCTTAGGTGACGCTATGAGAAGCCTGCCGCGCGTGGGTAGACGTCTGCGGCGGGCTTATTCGTTCTGAGGGTTTTATCCCATTAATTGATGGAAGTTCATACGGAGTAGGCTGCAAGTAACGCATTAGTTACTTCAATTCATTTTGCACGTGTTACCGGTGACGGAATGCATTGATTCAGCTGTATCTATGTACGTTTTCCGTCTAATGGATTATCTGGATTATACATGGATTCAGTTTTACGATAGCGTAATCATGGCACACATTTTACCTAGAGGAAGGCCTCGCAGACAGTGCGCGTACTCTTTGATTGTTTGCGGTCGCATCTCCCGCGCGCCGGCGTCTCGAGATGGCGCGCCATATCTGACCATTCGACGCCACCCCGCAGCACGTCTGGATCTGGGTGCTGTGGCTGTTCTCCCAAACCTGGATCACGCTGCACATCTGGACGCCGCACTGCGAGCGACTGGCCGCCACCGAGACCCTGTTCGTCACGCCCATGTACAACTCGCTGCTGATCGACCAGTCGCTGAGCATGAACCGGCGGCAGGACGACGAGCCAGAGCGGCTCGACTCGGACACGCGGGTCATCGACCCAGACGACCCTGACGGCACGCAGCACTACGAGACCATCAGCATCCACACAGACTCGTCGCAGACGGCCAACGTCAAGCCCTCGGACCACATCACGCGCATCATCGCCTGCGCCACCATGTGGCACGAGACGCAGGACGAGATGATGGAGATGCTGAAGTCGGTGCTGCGCCTGGACGAGGATCAGTCGGCCATGAAGGTGGCGCAGGAGTACCTCAAGGTGCGCGACAAGGACTACTACGAGTTCGAGACACACATCTTCTTCGACGACGCCTTCGAGATGTCGGACGAGGACGAGGACGAGCAGGTGGCCAACCGCTTCGTCAAGCTGCTGGTGGAGTGTATCGACGAGGCGGCGTCGCACGTGCACCAGATCCCGATCCGCCTCCGGCCGCCAGTCAAGACGCCGACGCCGTACGGCGGAAGGCTGACGTGGACGCTGCCGGGCAAGACCAAGATGATCGCCCACCTGAAGAACAAGATGCTGATCCGGCACCGCAAGCGCTGGAGCCAGGTGATGTACATGTACTACCTGCTCGGCTACCGGCTGATGGAGCTGGACATCTCGGTGGAGCGCAAGGAGATCATGGCCGACAACACCTACCTGCTGACGCTGGACGGCGACATCGACTTCCAGCCGTCCGCCGTCAAGCTGCTGGTCGATCTGATGAAGAAGAACCGCAACCTGGGCGCCGCGTGTGGCCGCATCCACCCGGTGGGCTCGGGCCCGATGGTGTGGTACCAGCTGTTCGAGTACGCCATCGGCCATTGGCTGCAGAAGGCTACCGAGCACATGATCGGTTGCGTGCTCTGCAGTCCCGGCTGCTTCTCGCTCTTCCGCGCCAAGGGCCTGATGGACGACAACGTGATGAAGAAGTACACGCTGACGTCTCACCAGGCGCGCCACTACGTGCAGTACGATCAGGGCGAGGACCGGTGGCTGTGCACTCTGCTGCTACAGAGAGGCTATCGGGTGGAGTACTCGGCCGCCTCCGACGCCTACACCCACTGTCCGGAGGGCTTCAGCGAGTTCTACAACCAGCGCCGCCGCTGGGTGCCCTCGACAATCGCCAACATCATGGACCTGCTGATGGACTACAAGGCCACCATCAGGATCAACGACAACATCTCGCTACCGTACATCGGCTACCAGGTGAGGGCGAGTCAACGTCACGTTTTCTTTAAAGGGACGAGGTTCGCACGTTAGGAAATCGTCCTCAGCTCTTAACGAGATTTCGAATGGACTTAAAAGCTGGCTAGATGTCTTCTGGTGTTCAGTGATATGCACTTACATTTACGGTACGCTGAATAACAGTTAATGTAGTTCTTCGCCGACGCTATCCATCGTGAGTATGTTCATGTTTACCACGCAAATCCCCCTCGACGCGCTGAAGACATTGCACGATTTGTCTCGACGCAATGTGCTCTGTTTTGACCACGTCTAATGCTTTCAGTCGTTCCTGATGGCTGGTACCATTCTGGGGCCCGGCACCATCTTCCTCATGTTGGTGGGAGCTTTCGTGGCCGCCTTCCGAATCGACAACTGGACGTCCTTCCAGTACAACGTCTACCCCATCATCATATTCATGGTGGTCTGCTTCACACTGAAGTCTAGCATTCAGGTGGGAAAGGGCTGTTCAGTGACATCATTTCCACTTCGTACCCGATCGAACGCAGAAGTTTCGTGATTTGTGCAGCTTCACCATACGATGAATGCAGACTGCAAGTCTGGTGTTTATTCGGCAGGAATTGTAACAGCAAAACACAACCGACTAGCTCCATCAAGGCAGGAGACAAGTTTTTTGTGAATCTAGCATCAAGTCCGATTCAAAACGTGGCTTTTGCTTCCAAGCCTTTAGAATGACTAATTGTGACATTCGAATGCCATCAGATATCACACTTCGACGGCTGGATGACGAGCCCCGTGCGTTTGTTGCAGCTGCTGGTGGCCCAGATACTCTCGGCCGGCTATGCCTTGATCATGATGGCCGTGATCGTGGGTCAAACGCTGCAGCTGTATGAGGACGGGCCCGGGTCGCCAACCTTCATCTTCCTCATGGCAACCATCCTGTTCATGGTGATAGCAGCCATTCTGCATCCGCAGGAGTTTAAGTGCATCATCCCCGGGTTTATCTACCTGCTGTCCATTCCGTCCATGTACCTGCTGCTCATCCTGTATTCCCTGATCAACCTGAACAACGTCACCTGGGGTACACGTGAGGTGCTCGCCAAGAAGACAAAGAAGGTTCGTTTGTTCGTTCGTTGACCGTTCGTTTGCTCGTGTGTTCGTTTGCTCCTTATCCCACTGTTTGCGCCTTGAGACGCATGCGCTTCAAAGACGCGAAAGAACGTTCATGTTGTAACTGGATGTAATCATGATGGACATAGAGATCTGATGATGGCTAGGTTTGGGCCCTCGGGTGACCCCATTGCTATTGCTATGTACGTACATCACGCAAAGCTAATAAGCCCAGTGTTGTTTTTATAGCTCAAGTGCATAAACGAGGTCAAACGTTGGCCGGAAATGGAGTTATTTGCCGCGTTCCTTACCTTGACCCCACCGCCGATTTCCCGTGACTAGTATGCGGAAATGGATGGGTGGATGCGAGCGAAGGTCTCTGCCGCCTCCGCAAACGCCGCCGCGGCCCAGTCTGACCCGGCGCGTACGGCGCCGTCCGCAGGAGCTGGAGGAAGAGCGAAAGGCGGCCGAGGAGGCCAAGAAGCGGCCGGACGGCATTCTAGGCTACCTCTACAACACGCAGCCGGTCGACCAGGACGGCTCCATCGAGTTCAGCTTCGCCAACCTCTTCCGGATCATGTGCTGCACGTACCCGAAGCAGATCAACGAGCGTGAGCAGCTCAAACGCATTGCCGATTCTCTGGACGCTCTGAACCGTCGCATGGACCAAGTGGAGGGGTGAGTGGCGAGAGCGGATGCAGAACTGGGTCGGCCGGGGGTGCACGTGGTGAATGGCTGGCGAAACGGGCCGCGAGAGGG